GTAAAATATGCACACTTCGACATGGCGCTGCGAGCGTCGATTCCAGAGGGAAGCCTTCATGCTCTTACTTTGAAACCGTGAAATAAGGAAATGTCGTCATTACCAGGCCATCACGTGGTTTCCGAAAATAACCGAGTGACACGAGCAGATTTCGGTTGAGACCGGCGGAAAGTTTGTCTCAAAACTCTGTGTGTGTAAAAAGCATAGGTAAAAAGACGATCCACAAGCAGAGATTCTATGGAAGCCTGTTTGCGCCACAGGAAAAAAAAAAAAAAACCTGTAAGTTATTATAATGACTTAGCTATCTCATTATAATGACTTAGCTATCTCATTATAATGACTTAGCTATCTCATTATAATGACTTAGCTATCTCATTATAATGACTTACTATCTCATTATAATGACTTAGCTATCTCAATATAATGACTTACTATCTCATTATAATGACTTACTATCTCATTATATTGACTTAATATCTCATTATATTGACTTAGTTATCTCATTATATTGACTTATAAGTTTTGGTAATATGAGAGGATAAATCAGGCCTTGTTTGGATACTGAATATATACCAAGGTCAAAGCATACACTGTATTATGACTCCTAATCAAACGTATATCTTTATAATCATATATTTATTTGTTTGTGACTGTAGCTGTACCCACTGGATTGTTTCTGAGTGTTTTCCGGACATAAAACACTTAAACACAGCAACATGTATACTGTACTATCACTGAAGCCACAAGAAACTCAGCTTTATTTCAAACATCAGCCAATTATAGATCATTTAAAAAAGGATTTTATCATCTGCGGATGAGTGTGTGTGGGCCTATATATGCCTCTTTAAATAGATTACACATAACATTGACCAGCTTTTGTGTTAGTTTACTATACCATAGTGCTTCAGGTGTAGATTATACAATATATAACATGTCCAAATATGAGAGAAGGCCTAGGTACAAGCAAACGTAAAAAAAAGAAAGAGTCTGACTGAGAGGCCAAACAAACATCAGGAGAGAGAAAAGAGAGATTTGTCTCAAGTCTTGAGGTAAGTAATGTGTTTCAGTATAATTCCCTACAGACCATCATACAGTTACAATCATTAATTCTCTATACAAACTTCCTGATTTACATACACTGTATTGCGCCTCAGTTTAAAAATGTCATAAAACTAAATGTGAAATCAAATATATGGTGCAATTTCTTTTTAGAGGGAGGACTCCACGAATTTTAATGAGGTGGGCGATAATGGACATTATGGCTATTGATGATGGCCTGTTTCCTCTTGCATAGTACGTCACACACACTATCAAATATCTACAACAGTGCACATTTTCCTGTTCGATCAAAATACTTGAAAACAATTGGCTAAACTACATAAGCTCATTTTTTGAAGGTATTTCGTGGAGAATGGAGATGGCAAACTATCCAAGTGGACCATAGTGTATCTTTATGTACACTGAACAAAAATATAAATGCAACACTTTTGTTTTTGCTCCCATTTTTCATGAGATGAACTCAAAGATCTAAAACATTTTCTACATACACAAAATAACCATTTCTCTCAAATATTGTTCACAAATCTGAAAAAATCTGTGATAGTGAGCACTTCTCCTTTGCCGAGATAATCCATCCCACCTCACAGGTGTGGCATATCAAGATGCTGATTAGACAGCATAATTATTGCACAGGTGTGCCTTAGGCTGGCCACAATAAAAGGCCACTCTGAAATGTGCATTTTTGCTTTATTGGGGGGGTCTGGGGGGGTCCGAAAACCAGTCAGTATCTGGTGTGAGGGGTAGGGTTAGGGTTAGGGTTAGGGTTAGGGGTAGGGTCAGGGTAATGTTGTGAATTGAGTGGCCCATGGTGGTGGTGGGGTTATGGTATGGGCAGGCGTATGTTATGGACGACGAACACAGGCCACTCGATTCACAACATTAGGTGACCTCTGTAATTTTCTCCGAGCTGTGTATATAACAAAACTTGTGAAATAATTGCACTAAACGGGATTCTTCCATTTAATGACGATGGGGGCGCTGCATAACTACGTAGCCTCGATTAAAGCAAACAGAAGAAGACGACATGTATCAACAAACCACCGCAGCCCGGACTTGAACCGGAGCAGCGAAGGAGTGATGAGGTATCTAGAGATCTGAGTCCAGCGAGCTGCTTGTGTTTCTGTTCATCAGAACATCATATGACCAGCAGATCCTGTGTGAACGCTCTACATTAGTCAGTGGACGTCCGACAACATGCACACTAACGTAACTTATATTGCAGCTATAGGCTATACTTTAATTTAAATTGCGTGAATAAACTAGTTAGAGAGCTAAAGTTAATTACATTCATCCAATGTCAGAAGGATTACCTTTTAACAAACGTTGTAATGCTTTTCTTTCATTTCAATTTGAGTAAAACATTGGAGATATAACATTGTATTGTTTTCTTTTTACACTGACTCAGATATAATGAAAAGACTACGTCAGTCGAAGCTCAGCTTTGGTAAGGAAGAGACAGGAGAGGCAGAGAGAGAGAAAGAGAGAGAACGTGATGGAAGTCAGGGAGGAACTGCAGGTGCAGTCACACAAAAGAATGTAGGCTTAATAACCCCATCTATCTATCTATACATCTATAACAATAGTCTTCATTTACAATAGGCATAATTTTAAAACAACATACATCTATTGCAGTTATGATGTCATAATAACATAGAATTGTATAAAACACAATTTGCTTACATCTTTGTTCTCTTTTGAGAATCAAACAAAACAGATTTAAATAAAAAAGATGCAAACAAATAAGTGAAATGAACTGAATTGCTTTTAATTCACTGGCAGGAGCGACAAGTGAGGAGGAGCAACAAGTGAACAACGAGGGAGAGATTGAACAAAGAGAAAGAGAAGAGGAGAGAGAGAGTAATGAACAGGAAGAAGACAGAGAGACTAAAGAAGATGGAAGAGAGGCTGCAGGTTATGGAAAGGAGAGAGACATGGGAAATTAATGTTGACAATGTGTTGTGATCATTTTAGCTCTTCTGCATGTCCAGATCATTCATAGTAACAATCAGCTGATTCTTATGTATTACACTTCCAAAAATAATGTATGCTGACATTGTCAGCCCACTGACATGGTTTGAAATCAATATATTATCCAATGTGTGACCCCCCACAGGACTTAAAAAGCACCTAACTAGATCATGAAAATCCCCCAAATCTCGGGGGGGTACACCCCCCAAACAGTGGCGGCGCCAGAGTATTTTTGTTGGGTAATCTATGGTAGGGCTAACCCATACAGTGGTGGGGCTCAAGTCAGTATTTGTAATGTAATTACATACACGCTATATCGTACCCCTTGACAGTTAAACGCCATGCGTGAGACTTTTATTAGTCTCCTTTTATCAGCTAAATTACATCGAGAGCAACAGGTGTGAGTTAAACAATACAATAGTCTATTCTGCTAATTCCACGTTGTTACAACATGCTACGCAGCGGCAGAAACAAGACAAGTTGGCATATAGAATTGACACGGAGAGAGAGAGGGAGAGTGAGGGGGAGAGAGTGAGGGAGAGAGACAGAGAGAGAGACACAGACACAGGTAAATAGAGAGAGACAGACACAGCACACAGGTGGCCTGTGTCTCTATTGTCATACATATTACAAAATATATTCAAAACTCACTATTCACTCTTCAGGTGGGTCGTGTGACTCTGGCACCTGTTCGACTTGTACCTCAATGTGAGGGCGTTTAAGAACAAATCTATCCATCCGAAATATACAATTAATCCTAGAAATTCTGCTGTCTGTCTGCAATTTACTCGGCGCGAGTTTGGGGACTTTTCACTGTGAACGTGACGTATCAGTAATGCATGATGCAGCAGACCCAACGTTTCGTTGCTCTGATTGGCTGTAGGTCTATTCAAATTGCATTCGGAGGCATTTTGATCTGACCGCGGCTGCGCTAATATTATAGCGAATTTCCACACCTTTAGTGTATAAAACTCCCCCACTACTTAGACTATTCCTTACACCCCGATAGCATAAGCCCGAATGGTCTCAACCATATTGCGTCAGTAACGTGCACTTGTTGTTACAGCAGGATCAGTTTGTGTGTTGTGGACACGACCGGTAGATTTTCGCAATCCGTGTTCTCAACATGCTTACTTTAACATACTTTTTCATGGTCAGGCTAAGGTAGGGCTAACCCATTTATTGGTATGGCTGTAGCCTACCTCAGCCATACCCTGGCGCCGCCACTGCCCCCAAACATGTTTGGACCTCGGTATTTAGGAAATCCTGGATACGGCCCTGCTTTAAGGTTTTTATTTTCAGAAGGAACCGATGTGCTGTGAAGTCAAAAAGCATTGGTAGACAGATATTTTAAAGATTTTTGAGAATACTATAAATACAGAGCAACCCTAAAGTTTTAAAGCTGACATATCAATCAAACCTACTTTCTGTCAGCCTCCATCATTCACCTGAGTGCATGCAGAGGTTCAGAGAGTGACCTACAGCTGTGCTCTTTGAAAACACATTGTGTATTACATTTTTATTTTGAATTTGGGCGAAATGTTGTCAATACTTTATAGAATAATTCAAAAACGTTTATTTGATTAATCCACTATGAATATTAAAGCCAGAGCATATTGTATTAAAAAAGTTCGGGAAGCACAGGCAGTCTTGTGATAGGTGACATAAGCTCCGGCTTCTGGCCAATCATATCAGCTGATGTCCTGCAGCACTCTCACTTAAATCAAGATACACACTGAGTTACAGAAACCGTTCCGTTTGGCCTTCCAAGTAAAGTCGTTCGAGAAAAGGGCATTTCCTATGAAAGGAATTTATTTCGTTTGCTGTAATTTTTATTGAAGAATATTTAATGTTTCACGCATAAAACAAGTACAAAAAAACCACTAAATTCGACAGCACGGATACTTCCTGAGAATGTACCTCATAAATACAATACCGTATTATTTTGAAAATCCAAACCGGAAAAGGTTAGGATGACTTGGCACTCTTAACTTGTTCTGTGTCAACTCGTCATGATAATTAATTTAACAACGTTAACGCAGGGAAGGCTCATTTAACAAAAGGGGACAAACACAGCAGCGTTTCAATGTGACTTTTATTCATTCTAAATATCATCGCATCCCTGAGTGTTCACGTTACCTTTCGGCCGCCCATAGTGTCAGTAAGGCTGAACTGTCCGACTGGTTGTCCGACTTTGACTGCAGAACTGTCCAGCCTCCAGCATCATGGCCTCTGCCACCCCCGCTGCAGCTGCCTCCAGCGGCCGCTCCGCCGGCCGCCACAGCGCAGCCGGTGCTGGGCGCACGCAGCGCGGCCTGCCCGCCTCCAGCCCCAGCCCGACCCGTCTGCTGCGCGGCCAGGAGAAGGAGGAGCTGCGACACCTCAACGACCGCCTCGCCAACTACATCCACCGGGTCCAAGAGCTGGAGAGTGAGAGGTCTTCAATACTGTTCCAGCTGGAGGAAAAGGATGAGTCGAAAAGCCGAGAGATGGGCAACGTGCGGCGGCTGTACGAGGAGGAGCTGGCCGATGTCCGGAAGTCCCTGGACGGCCTGGCCGGAGAGAGGGCCCGTCTGCAGATCGACTATGGAAATCTCTGCGAGGATTACAGAAAGATCCAAGCCAGGTAAAGCGTGAGAATGTAGGTGCACGCAGGTGCTGGAGCTGTATCCGCTCAGGATTCCACTCAGAAGTGATGTAATGCAGTCCTGATTGGAGTTGGAAGCAAGCAGCTGTAGAAAACAAATGAAAATATTTCTACATGACTGTCCCTCTGTAGAATAAGATTCGGAAGCAGTGGTGTAAGGTACTTTACTTGAGTATTTCATTATTTGCTACTTAATACTTCTACCCCCACTACAGTTCAGAGGTAAATGGTGTACTTTTCCTCCACTCCATGTATTTAATACCTTTAGTTACTTCACAGATCTGGATGAATGATGTGAAATCTAATCAAGTGTTGAATCAGACTTTAGTTCCACCTGGAGTAAATCCACAAGCTACCCTGCAGTATACAAAGTCATTCAAACTAGCTGCACCTTTACCAGCTTTGAGAACACTTTCATGATCAATCATTATAAAACATATCATATATATTATTCTGAGATGGACCAATCTGCACAATCACTACTTTTACTGTCGCTATTCTAACTATATTTTGATGGGTACTTTTATAATGTGCTCCGCTGGGGGCCAAACATGTTGTTACACTTTACTAAGCTGAACAATGATCCTTAATCTGAATATGGTTTGAAATGTGTACTTTGCTATTAGAGCAGATGTACAATACTTTTAAGGCTATAAAAATTTGTAAGGTACGTTTTGTTGAACACATTTGTTTATATGGTCCAACACACACACGGAACTGAAGTTACGGAGCTGAAATGATGAAGCTTTTGACAGCGCGCTACTAGCATGGGGGATTCCAGCCATGTCATTGCAGTGTCTGTATACATGGCAAGAAATGAAAGGGGGTTTCATGTCGTCGTTGCTGTTGACCAATGTAATCAACCTTCTTTGTTCTCATGTTCTCCACCTTCAGGAACCAGAAGAAGGAGAGTGATCTGGCGAATGCGTTGGCCCAGTGGAGGAAAGTTGAAGCAACTTTAAGCTGCAAGGATGCAGAGTACAAGAATCTGCTGTGTGAGAACAGGAGACTCCACGACGACTTTGCTGACCTGCAGGGCCAGCTGGAAAACGTAGGAACTGATGCTAACTGACGTACAGGGCTAACTGCAGGTGTAATGATGTCGAGGATAATAGAAAAATAAAAAAAGGTTTTACTCTTGGCCACTCCTCATAGTATAATCAAAATAACCTGCTTGTCTGTTTTCTGGAAAATGTTGTTGTCTGACCAGGTTGCATTATGTTGATAGGTCAGCTACTTTGCCCTAATGGAGAAAAGGTATCCGAAATGATCAAATGCCCTAAGGATGATACTAGATGTCTGAGCATAAGTCAGGGTGTGCTTAGCCTAGCGTTCCATAATGATTGAAATCAGAAAATAAATAGCTAGCTGGGCTCTGTTTAAAAAAAACAACTACAAAAACACAAGAAACAAACAAACATAGTGGTATATCTCTGGAGCAGAGAGGAGCTGGATTATTGTTATTGATTGATGCATCAGTGTTTCTTAGGGTCATACACACTAAACTCACAACTTCAAATGAAAGTCAGTCGTTATCCGAGTCAAATCTGCAGAAAATAAACAAGTCAGACACTGAAACATGCACATCAATTGGATAAATAACATAAGCATTTAGTTTATTTAATAAAAGAGCACATGTTCAATGTGAAAAGTGACTGTACATAGATTACTTCAGTTGCAATTTGGTGCTATATATATATATATATATATATATATATATATATATATAAAACAACAACAAAGAAAACACCTTGAATTTCAGGGGGGGTGCAGGGCTCCGTTGGCGGGGCGCAGCGCCTTAAAGGACAATGGTAGGGGAAACACTGTACCCATTTATCAGAATCTGTTGGATATATATTCCCTCACTAAAATCATCTAAATTATGATTGAACAATTGTCTTAATACGCTTTGTAACCTTGGGTGAGAATTGTGGCACAGACTGACATGTCATCGGATTTTCAAAATAAATGCTTAACTTGCTTAACATAGTAAACTATGATCCCTCCATTCTAAATATTGGAGGTGGTGGTTGTTCCCATAAAGATACTGTTGGTTGGTTTAGACTCATTGTCAGTTTTGTAAGTTCAGTCAGACAACTCCCGTGTTTCTTTATATGTTTATTAGAAGCAGCATATAGTTTGAGTTTGGCATCTAGGCCTCATCACTCCACAGATTTACACAGAAAATGGAGTGATGATAATATAACGGCTCGGGGGATAGTAAGCTGGGGTGCTGGTGGGGCAGGCGAGCAGCAGCACTGCTGTTTCCTCTCAAACTTGAATGACCCATGCTTCTGACATGTATGCATGCATTCAAGCACTGTACTGCGGGAAACAAATGTGCATCACACCTTTTAAAAGCGATGACTTTAACAGAGATCAGGCTAATATTTTCAAATGTTCTAACTGTGTTTGTTGGGGGTGGGGGCTTTCACCAGGTAGAGGGGGTTCTGTCAGAGACAAAGAACCAGCTGAGCTCTGAAATCCTGTGGAGAGTGGACCTAGAAAACCAGGTGCAGACACTCAAAGAACAGCTGGAGCTCCAGAGGAACATCACCGAGCTGGTAAGTAAAACACCTGCTGCTAAGCAGGCTAGCAATATTAAATTCCACCGATTCATGTCTTTCCTGATTTAATATGTTTATTTGTTGTATCAGCTCAGTTGTTAAGTGGATGTTTTGCAGGAGATCCTAGAGATCCGAAGCTGCCATGAGAGTCGTCTGGTGGAGGTGGAATCAGGCCGGCGGAGTGAGTTTGAGGGTAAACTGTCGGACACCATGCAGCAGCTCCGCCAGGACCATGAGACCCAGCTGCAGCAGTACAGAGAAGAGCTCCACCGGACCTTCACGTCCAAGGTTCAAAAAGAAGCTAGGATGATGTGTTTCCAGAGCTCCTTAATGACTTGTATAGTATATGTTCTGATGTAGAATTCCGTCCTGTGCTACAGCTGCAGAATGCCCAGCAGGCTGCATTGGAGAAGAACAACACCGCGTCAGCCACTAAAGACGAGCTGGAAAGCAGCCGGCTCCGAGTGGAGAGCCTCAGTGCCCAGCTGCAGCAGGCCCAGAGAGACGTGGGTCAGAACACACATCTGTTTACAGAACACACACAGAACACACACACATCTGTTTACAGAACACCATCTGTTTACAGAACACACATCTGTTTACAGAACACACATCTGTTTACAGAACACACGTCTGTTTACAGAACACACGTCTGTTTACAGAACACACACACATCTGTTTACAGAACACACACACATCTGTTTACAGAACACACACACATCTGTTTACAGAACACACACACATCTGTTTATAGAACACACACACATCTGTTTACAGAACACACGTCTGTTTACAGAACACACACAGAACACACACACATCTGTTTACAGAACACGCACGTCTGTTTACAGTAAACACACACACACACACCTGTGTTTACAGAACACACACACATCTGTTTACAGAACACACGTCTGTTTACAGAACACACACAGATCTGTTTACAGAACACACACACATCTGTTTACAGAACACACGTCTGTTTACAGAACACACACACGTCTGTTTACAGAACACGCACGTCTGTTTACAGTAAACACACACACACACATCTGTGTTTACAGAACACACACACACACCTGTGTTTACAGAACACACACACACATCTGTTTACAGAACACACACACACATCTGTTTACAGAACACACACACACATCTGTTTACAGAACACACACACACATCTGTTTACAGAACGCCAGGCTCAGGTCTCACCTGTGCAGCCACTAAACCTCAGGTTTGAACTTGAGGTAAAAATGTATTGGAAGATGATCCAAGCAGGGCAGCTGAAGTATGGGGCGACGGCAGTGGTGTAAAACCTGTTTGACCATAACTCGAAGATTCCCTTTGATTTGCTTTGTTGATTCTCTCTTGCCAGCATTTGTCGTCTTATTCTTTTTCCTTTCTCCATCAGAAAATGTTGCTGGAGGGCAGCTTTCATGATCTGGAGAGGACTCTGGACAAGGAGCGTGAGGTGTGGCAGCAGAGACTGGGTCAGAAGGAGCAGGAGCTGCTGAACATCAGGAGCCAGATGTTTACCCAGCTGGTAGACTACGAGAACCTGCTGGATGTTAAGCTTGCGCTGGACATGGAGATCAATGCCTACAGGAAGATGCTGGAAGCTGAGGAGCAGAGGTACGGATGTCATCTTTGTGCAATCTGCTGTCATACATCAGGAGCAGAGCCCGGCTGCTACTCTGCTCACAGTCCGGCTCAGGGGTCATGGCGGCGCCTGTTGATGTTGAAATAACTTAATGTTGCAGCTGCAAGGACTTTTTTTATTTATTAATGAGGGCATATTTGTACTTTATGATATTAGGCTATATGGATTAAATGTGACTTGGTTTCTTTTAATCCAAATAAATCAGATTTTCTTCGCAGACTGCAGCTAACCCCCAGCCCTTCCCAGCACTCAGCCGTCCCTCGGACACATGAACACAGCAGCCGGCAGCTTAGAGGGAAGAAGCGGAAACGCGAGGGAGCCTCGGGCAGCCATGCAACGCAGCACGGCTCTGTGAGCGTGGCCGGAGTCGACATGGATGGGAAATATATCAGACTGAAGAACAACTCTGAGACGGTAAGGCTGTAATGCCACTGGACAGTGGGGAACTTTATTCCCACTTTTTAGCATGAATTCTTAGCTCAAATGTTCCACACACCCCGTTGCTTCAAGACACAAATACATATTTTCCATTGGCATCCCTGGCCGTGTTCTCAGGGTGTGTGCAGTTCAGCTGGCAGAGGTGTTCACAGACATCTTCAACAGGTCGCTGCTGCAGTCTGTAGTCCCCACATGCTTCAAACACTCCACCATCGTTCCTGTCCCCAAAAAGACAAAAATCAGCCTCAACGATTACCGCCCAGTAGCACTCACCTCCATCATCATGAAGTGCTTTGAGCGGTTACGGCCCGTCCACACGGCGGCGTGCGTTGAAGCTTCAACGCAGCTTCCCATTCACTTTGAATGGGGTGACGTCACGCTTTGCCGAACTGCATTGTGGTTCCCTTGCGGCGCTTTACCTCCGTTACTCGCTTCAAATGTTGAGAACAGTTTAACTTTTCAAGCTTCGACGGAAGCGTCAGCCAATCAAATCATATGCCAGTACAAGCTTGAGTCTAGCCAATCAGACCGCATGCTTGTGTGTCCGGGGCGGGAGATTCATGTGATTGGTTGTTGGTCGAGCTTCAGACACGCCCGCCGGCAAGCTTCAACGCATGCTGCCGTGTGGACACTGCGTTAGTCAAAACATTCATCACCTCCTCCCTCCCTGGACCCCCTGCAGTTTGCCTACAGAGCTAACAGGTCCACAGACGACGCCATAGTCTTTACCATTAGGGCTGCACGATTTGGGGAAATCATCTAATTGCTATTTTTCTGACAGATATTGCGATTCGATTTGCGATTTGCAGGTGATTGGATCAATCTGTCAATCACCTTCTATCATTGGCCACTTCTGATTGGTTAACAATGGCTGGTACATGTGGAGCACAGCACTTCTGATTGGTGTGGATGACTGACACACAAGAAAAAGAAAAAAAAGGGAAAAAAAAAGATTGCAGGCTTTGCGATTTGATAATGGCATCATTTCAAATCGTGATTTCGATTTAAAATCGATTAATCGTTCAGCCCTTCTCACCATCTCTCCCACCTGGACCAGAGGAACATATGTGAGAATAAACTTACAAAATAAAATTAAAATATATATATCGAAAACGGAATGGGGTGGTTGTGTTTCAGGTGCAGTTTAAGGTTGGTCATATTGCTAGCTTTTGTTGGCTCATTCAAGTCTGTAGGTTCGCCTCGTTCATTTGGCTTAAATACAAAATATTCCTACACCGGAGATGTGGAATTAGGTTTTGCAACCAATTCCATTTAGCTTCAAATTCCCCTCGAGTAAGTCACACGTTGTCTCCTGCTTGTCTCTATATAGAGTGGCGAAGTCCCTCCCCTTCCGGTGGACCTCCATGGGACTTTATTTCCGAAAAATTATGCATTGAAGTCAATGGAGAGAGAAAGATTATCTTTCGATCCCGTTTGAATTGTGCCACGAATTACACATATGATGTTTGTCAATTTAAAAGATAATTTTGCAAGTCAAAAAAAAAAAATGTGTCGTAAAACTGTGAAGTAACACATTTGTTTGTGTGAAACACTGAATGAACAACATCTCCGGTCTAGCAGAACAACGCACGTCACCAAAATGGCCGTCACTACTGTCTTGTCAACAAAAGGATTGACTATCCTCACTATCACCACAATGAAACACGTCCAGAAGAATGTCATGCAAAGCTGCCTGCCTGCCTTCCTTTGATTCTCTCTGAACTGCCTGGTCTTTTTAATGTTTAATGTCAACCATTTGTGCAGATAGCGTGAAGTAGAAAAGATCGCAGTTGCTAATGTAGCGTTAGCATTTCTCCCCCGGGCTTAAATTGTGTATTATAGAATGATCACACCGGTGTGAAAGTACTCTTCAAAGGGTTCACGAAATATGACTACTACTCTTACTGTTTAACATGTTGGGTTACTTAATGTTACTTCATGGTAAGGCTAATACAAATGACAAGGCTGTAATGCTAACTAACGTGCTAGCTACTAGCTAGGTAGCTAACTTGATCCAGCCACTCCTGGTCCTTTCATCAGACGGGAAGCGAAAGAACGAGCAAGACCAATTGCTGGTATGATAACAACCTGGTACTAAGCACACAGGCATCTTGTTAGTGGAGGAAAACAGTTATGACATCACTTACGCGACTCGATTCTAGTTGCGTATTTTTCATAGTCTTATATTTCAACAGTTTTACGACAAACTGTGACTTTTTTGACATGGAAATGATTTTTTAAGATTGACAAACATCATATGTATAATTCATGGCACAATTCAAACGGGATCGAAAGATAAGTTTTCTCTCTTCATTGACTTCAATGCATAATTTTTCCGAAATATGGTCCCATGGACCGGAAGTAGATGGGCGTGACTTCGCCACTCTATTATTAATTTGGCTGCTACACTGTTGCACGCGGAGTGTTCTGACCTTACTGTGTGTGAGCCCCGCCCCTCACGGCGTGCCTGACCGGCAGCCACAGAACGCCTGGCCGGTAGAGTGGCCGGCAGTAACAGCGCGCCTGGCTGGCAATTTATCGAGGTCAGAAAAGTTATCGAGTTCATTTTTATTTATCATACGATAAGTCAATTAATTGCTTATCGCGACAGGCCTACCATTGCGCCTTCCAAGATGGTCATCAAGCTCAGAGACCTCGGGCTCAACAGCGCCCTCTGTGATTGGATCCTGAACTTCCTGACGGGCAGACCCCAGGCAGTGCGGGTGGGAAACATCACATCCTCCACCCTGATCCTCAACACCGGAGCCCCCCAAGGCTGCGTGCTCAGCCCTCTACTCCCTGTTCCCATACGACTGCGTGGCCACACACAGCTCCAACACCATCGTGAAGTTTGCTGATGACACGACCGTCATCGTATATATATAAATAAATATGAGCACACATTGTCTCATAAGCAAACAAAAAAAACCTCCTTAAAACAGTCAAGTGTACAGTCCACTGTCCATACAAAGACCCAGGAGTGGAGTGCACCAGGTGGGCGTAAAAAAGTAGGGCTTAACTCTAACGTCGGGCTTAGCTACGTCCGACGTAGTGATTCGAATTTACACCGAGTGCACCAAGCCTGACTAGTCTTGGGCGTAGCTGCGCCTGGTCTTAAGATGCGTGTCCACGCGAATACATGCGAAACAGTAATTGTTGCCAAGCAACGCCATTTTACCATTTTACAGACTCAGAGGACCGCAGAGAAGAGGGAATTCCCACACCCACAGTGTCAGCGATGACTCAAGGGGAATCCCAAATGGCCACACCCCGAAAGAGAAAGAGGGATTTGTCAGAGCTACAGCGGGAACTGACGGAGAAAGAAATCGTTCGTGTGGAGGTGGAGACCGTCAAATTGAGAGCGGAACACGAAAAAATTGAGCTGGAGAAGGAGAAATTGAGACTCTTCTTAATGCCCTTTCATTGTTAAACATGTAAACAAGACGCCCTGCCATCGTTAATATCCTTCTTGCCTGTTTTACGTTACTATGGATACTAGTCTGTCTTTCCGATTTACGCCTGCTCCATACTAGGCGTAAAAGTTACACCCGGGCGCAACGCATACAGGGCTTAAGTCTAAGTGGTGCACTAGTCATAACTTTAGTTTGGTCTTAACCTTCGGTTCTACGTCGGACGTAGAGTTACGCCCAGCTTACCTCAACAGGCCATATCCAAATCTGTATTTAAAAGATTTCGAGCAAGGCACACCAACATGTTTGCATTGTCGGGCAAATGCATCTTTGATTGCAAACTGTCGGGAAGGTGGAGGCTCTCCATCTCCAGCTGCCGTGTTTGCTCCCATCTGGGAAAACGGAATGGGGTGGTTGTGTTTCAGGTGCAGTTTTAGGTTGGTCGTATTGCCAGCTTTTGTTGCTACCTTTTTTAAATAAATGCGACATACCGGCTCATTCAAGTCCGTAGGTTGATTTGGCTTAAATCCAAAATATTCCCACACCGGAGATGTAAAATTATTGGTTGCAAATCGTGCAACCGACCCATCACCCCAGCCACAAACTGTTCTGTCTGCTGCCGTCTGGCAGGCGGTACCGCAGCATCAGGACTAAAACCACCAGACTCAGGGACAGTTTCATCCCACAGGCCATAAGAATCTTTAACACCTGAACTTTTGAAAGAACATGCATAACATTCATCTGTTTGCAACTCACATATGTGACCTGCTCTATCGAAATCAGTCGCATTGACCCGAAGACACATTTTGAGTTGTATACACTGTTGGAAAGAGGATATTCCTAGCTTTCTAATGATATTAGGATTGTTTTTGTACTCCAAATATTAAGCGAAATATGTCACATTATATAATGACTGTCACCGAGTCATCATTTTGAGAAAAAGGCCTTTAAAGTTTCCTCTTCTCTGGAATCCATCGATCTGATTGATTATTAGCGGAGCAAATTATCAAAATACTACAGAGGGAAGATATTTTCGTTTTGATTACTGGTCTGGGGGAAGCTCGCTCGCGTGTGTGTGATTTTGTGTGTATTGTGTTTGTTTCCCGGAGGAAACCCTCACAAGAAACACCGGCTGTTGTTATGCCTGCTGTGACGTTAAGTTACTCCGTTCTCCGCTTGTAATTATGCCGTTAGAAGCTTCAAAGTTGTATTTATCATCTGAATTTGCCGAAACAAGTTTAATATTCTGAAAGCCAAGACTTTGTTTAATTGAAATCAGATGAAAACAAACTGTAACGGACCCTGCCGTGTTATCTATGATTACTATACGCTTACATTCATAATTTCAGCCAGAGGGAGGGGGACGGCGCTGCGGAAGAGCAGATTGCGAGTGAGAGTTGCCCGTCTTCTTCCCTTTACAAGCTTCAAAAATGTATTTATGGTGTGATTTTGGAAATAAAAGTTTCATATTCTGAAAGCCAAGACTTTGTTTATTTAAAATCAAACAAAACACCCGAACCCCGAAACAATAGTTTTTTACGCAAATCCACGTTTATTTTGAAATTAGCCGTTGCGACTTTTGACTGATTTTGATAGAGCGGGTCACAAATCATATCAATATTCCAATTACTGTATATAGACTATTCTGCAGAGTTTCTATCATATTCTGTTTCTATAAAACATTTTTTAATTTACTTGTATACTATTTTATCTGTTTATTGTTTTGCACTGTTGGAGGAGCCTGTGACCTAAGATTTTGATTGTCATAACTACACTGTAGCTATGCACACAAGACCATAAAAGCCTTGAAACTTTAGATATAACGTATTTTTACCTACAGTAAAATGTGCTCTCATGTTTAAACACAGAAATGTAAACAAAACTAAATCATTATTGAACATTTAAAAAATGGATTGGCCATAACAAACACCATGTTCGAACATAAGGATGCTCATAAGTGTACGTGGTACCAGAGCACCCTAGGCAGAAGGTCCATGATTGATTTCGTTATCGTATCATCGGACCTGAGGCCGTATGTTTTGGACACTCGGGTAAAGAGTGGGCGGAGCTGTCAACTGATCAGCATCTGGTCGAGTGGCGGGGGAAGCCTCTGGACAGACCTGGTAAGCCCAAACGTGTAGTGCGGGAGAACTGGGAACGTCTGGAGGAGGCCCAAGTTCAGGAGGCCTTCAACTCACACCTCCGGTGGAGCTTTTGGCATCCCTGTGGAGGCTGGGGACATTGAACCAAAGTGGGAAATGTTCAAAGCCTCTATTGCCGAAGCCGTGGCGGGGAGCTGTGTGCCTCAAGGGGTGGTAACCCTCGAACCTCCTGGTGGACACCGGTGGTCAGGGAAGCCGTCCGACTGAAGAAGGAGGCCTTCAGGGATGTGTTATCCCGGGGGCCTCCCGAGGCAGTTGCAAGGTACCGACAGGTCCGAAGAGCAGCAGCCGTGGCCGAGGCAAAGCAGCGGGTGTGGGAGAAGTTCGGAGAAGACATGGAAAAGAACTTTCGGGCGGCACCAAAGTTGTTCTGGAAAACTGTCCGACACCTCAGGAGGGTGAAGCAGGGAACCATCCAAGCTGTGTACAGTAGGGCTGAACGGTATACCGTGTCATGGCGATAACCGCGGTATGCACATGCGCGGTATTCACACCGCAGGGACGTGCGGTTTTATTCATTTAAAAAAAAAAAATGCTAACGCACTTTAGCACAGAATTCAAAATAAAGATACCCTTATTACTTATCGAAACTGCACATACAATATATCCGATTAAAGCTGAGACTCCACAGATTATTTAAGTATAGTATCTAAGCGATCCGATCTCGCAACAGGGGAAGCAAACAGACATCACAACACGTACTTTTTACGGAGCTTTTACGGGAGATCATCTCACCGTAGCTGTCAATCTGATCAAAAGAAGTGTTCAATGGTATTAAAACGAGAAAGAAAAAACGCGGCTGAATCGGTTGATCCATAGGTTGATAATGTATCTGTGGCTTTGAAGCAATTGTTTATAATCCATAATTCCATTTTTATGTAAAAATCGGAGCACAAAAGTTAGCTGCTAATGGTAGCCACTGGTTTTTGGCTACGTGTCACTCTCACTCCTTATTTGTTCATGTGTTGGTGTGTGTAGAACTTCCCCTGCATGCACAGCAAACCACCAATCACAATCATTCTTGATCAGATCACAGCAGGCCCCGCCCCGCTAGTTTGCAGACCATCAAAACACTGGTAAAAAATGAGCGATAAAAGCGGTAAAAGCTTTAGGAATCCAAAGTACAACATATAATAAGTACTCTGTATCAAGATTGATGCAAAACAAGTGATATGACCTTTTTAGACAGATTTAGCAAAAAAAACCTCTTCTGGGGCCATTTGGGTGGATTTTCCATATCTCTGGCCCACTTTACTGGATTGGGACATGTGACATCTCTTTCTGACCGTCAGAGCCAATGGAATCGAGGGGAAATCACACATTCCTTATTTGGTAATGTGTGTGTGTGAGACTTCCGGATATCCAGACCGGAAGCAGCAGCTACCATTGCAGCTACCAGTGGCTACCATTAGCAGCTAACTTTTGCTCTGCGATATTTACATAAAAATGGAATTATGGATTATAAATTAAATCATTTTTTTATACAGAGACGTTAAAAACCTATGGATTAACCGATTCAGCCGCGTTTTTTCTTTCTCGTTGTAATGCCATTGAACACGTCTTTTGATCAGATTGACAGCTACGGTGAGACATCTCCCCTCGAAGCTACGTAAAGGTACGTGTTGTGATGTCTGTGTTTGCTTCTCCTGTCCGAGTTCAGATCACTCAGTGATGATACTATATATCTAAATAATCTGTGGAACCTCAGCTTTAATCGGATATCTTGTAAATGCAGCTACGATAAGTAATAAGGGTACTTTTATCTTGAGTTCTGTGCCAAAGTGCGTTAGTATTTTTCGCTCAGGGGTAATTTAGATGCTTCTTATGAGACTTGTGTTTTGTTTTGGTATAAAATGGTTTGTATCGTCAGTTAGCTGAGATTATTTCCGTTAATCTGGTATAACACATTAATAGGTTCTTAAATATTACGATCCCCTGAGATACTGTCGTGAAAAAAAAAAGTAAAGTACCCGCCGGGACTTTGGGGTTTAACAGGTTAAAAAAACCGCGATATATACCGCAGGGGGGGGGAAAAACGCGATGTCAGTTTTTTTCAATACCGTGCAGCCCTAGTGTACAGTGTGTACTGAAAGGGTCAAAGGAAAGGTTGTGTCCCAGATGTGATATTCTTTTACCCTTCTGATGGCCCTCTCCACCAAGATCCTTGGTCGGGCGATGCTCTGGGTTTTTTCAGTGTCCTCTCTGCTGAACCTGGTGCCTCTTTTGAATGGGGGGATTACGAGGGTTGTCCCAACTTCAGACAGCATCTGGTCAATGACAAAGCCTTTGTCAGCCATGCACGCATCTCCAGGCTCAAGTAGGCGGAGGATCCCTGACTGCCGTGTAATTTATCTGTCTGATATTGAACTAGTGAACAGCTTTGAAATAAAGGTAATTACACCACACGGGGCAATGCTAATCAGACCTTTTGGAGGTGTTGGTGTTCTTGTAGGTGGAGAATGTTTCAGACTAGAGGGTGAGTGATGATGATGCCTCACATCTGATCTCTGTGCAGTCTAGAATCACTCGCACATTTGGACAGTAACTAACAAATGTTTGTGGCATTGTTGCTTGCACCCGTTCCCTTGTCATCCAAATTGCCACTGACCCCAAAACAATGTATAGATAATTGGTCCAGGTAATTATCCCTCTGCTCACTGTAGTGGTACTGATGCCAAAGATGTCAGCAATCACTTTCTCTTTCATGCCAACGGCAACTTGACAGCAGTAGAGAAAGAGTTCATCCACAAGTGCTAGCCTCCTGTTAGGGCTCGGTTTCTCTAGTACTATGGCATCACTTGTCCTCTGGGCTCTGCTCCAATACACTAATCTGGAAGCTGAGGGGGTGACGGATTCCCAAAACTACCAAAACACTTTCTCTGACGGAAATCGGGTGTAGAATCGGAATTCCTCGTCAGTCGCACAATACCTGTTGATGTTCAGTGTACAAGAAATGTCCCTCAGTTGACTTTCTAAACTCCTGATCTTAGCTTCCAGTTGCCTGTTGGTTTCAGTAGCAGCGGCATCCACTACACCAGAGGAGTTGCGGGCGTAGTAGTTGTGGTCTGAGGCGGGTTCTCGTCGTCTTCAGCTGTGGGCTGTTCGTGCAAGCCTGAAGCTCCTCCTCCGATTCTCCCCCCAGCTATTCCAGGGAAACCGGCTTGGAGTAAGACTGGGTTTTAGCCTCTTCCGCCCACTTTTCGAGACCGGTACACTACAATAACAGCGACGAGAGGAGGCGGCCATAGTTTGTCACGTAACTATGGTAACTAACTACCGGAGGTATGTGTACACTGCTCTGCGATTTTTAACGTTCCGGAAGCAGGAAGTGTGACGTAGGCCTATTCCTAATGTCATTATGATACACAGCCCCCCCCTTCTCAGACTGCTTCGCTTCACTCTCTCTCATGATGTGTTCAGATAGCTTTTTGAGTGGACTCAAAGTGGGACCCCCTGCAGAACATCAATATTATGCAACAAAATGACATGTATATATTAAACTGCTTGTTTGTCTCATGTCATCGTCTCCAGGAGCAACCGCTGGGGGGTTGGGTGGTCCGGAGGTTGTACCCCCACTCTGGAGACCTCTCATTCCACATCCCCCCCTCCAGCAGCCTTTCTGCTGGCCAGACGCTCACAGTGAGTGCTCACTGTTACTGTGTTCTCCACAGCTTCCCTGCAGACAAAGCAAACTGGTGTGTGTGTGTGTGTGTGTGTGTGTGTGTGTGTGTGTGTGTGTGTGTGTGTGTGTGTGTGTGTGTGTGTGTGTGTGTGTGTGTGTGTGTGTGTGTGTGTGTGTGTGTGTGTGGTGTGTGTGTGTGTGTGTGTGTGTGTGTGTGTGTGTGTGTGTGTGTGTGTGTGTGTGTGTGTGTGTGTGTGTGTGTGTGTGTGTGTGTGTGTGTGTGTGTGTGTGTGTGTGTGTGTGTGTGTGTGTGTGTGTGTGTGTGTGTGTGTGTGTGTGTGTGTGTGTGTGTGTGTGTGTGTGTGTGTGTGTGTGTGTGTGTGTGTGTGTGTGTGTGTGTGTGTGTGTGTGTGTGTGTGTGTGTGTCAGATCTGGGCAGCAGGTGCTGAGGCGGAAGCTGATCCTGGGGACCTGGTTCTGCAGGGCCAGACAAGCTGGGTCCCTGTCACTGATGTCAGGGTGATTCTCCTCAACCAGGACCACGAGGTAGGTTGAGCAGTATTTACATTCCGGGAGTTTGCTTTAATCACTGCAGTCAAAAGTCAGTTCTCACACATACTCATGGCAGTGTACTATTCTGTGCTCATAAGGAGCCAAAAATGTTGACACACACACTCACAAAAACTGCAGTATGGACAGTTTGACATGTTGACCCCAGGGGCTGGGGTTTAAACCACCGCCTTACCGATGGGTGAAAATTCCCCCTGAGCCACAGTGGCCTCAGAGAATCTGGGTCATACCCTCATCAGTGTTCTAGATCCATCAATCCATCCATTTGTAAGAATTATAAGATATACTTTTAGTGATCCCAGTTTGGGAAATTATTTACCAGGAGCTGCTGCCACCTAGCACGCCGCCATCTTGGAGGGGTGTTTGTTTAGAGTACTACCTAAAATAATTTTGTCTCAGCTATTAGTGTAGAATGGAACTCATCATCGGAGTCATGTGATCCCTTTTCCAGGAAATGGCAGAGCGCAGGGTGTGTATGCAGCATAGAGGGGATGAGGAAACTGAACTGTTTGATGAAGAGTATGTTGCAGGCAGTGACATCCAGCACTTTCGGAGACAGGTAAACACACAGAGTTATAAAACCAGCCAACAAAACAGGAGGTATTTTTATTTTATTTTTTTATTATTGCTTTGTTTCCCTCTGTCTCTTTCGGGGTGGAGCTTCATATTCAGTTTTCTCTGTATAGAAAGTCCTCAGTAAATGTCCACCAATACTAGCAATTTAGGAATCGCTCCTACTGGCTCACCAGTGAGGTTTGTACAGTAAGCTGGAACATTAAAGGCCCCTTGAAGAGATCCAGGGCATTTGCTCATCTGAAACGACTTAATGCAGACATAATGTTTCTACAAGAAACCCATATGCACAGACCAGGTCAGGCTTAAGTGTCCATGGGTTTCTGAGGTGTTCCATTCAAACTTCAACTCTAAGTCCAGAGGGGTTGACATTTTAATTGGTAAGTCTGTTAATTTCACATCTTCCAAGTGTATAGCGGATGACAATGGCAGATATTTAATTATCTCAGGCACGCTGTTTCATGTTCCTGTATTGTTAGTCAATATTTATGCTCCAAATGTTAATAACCCACACTTCATGAACAAGCTTTGCATCATTGCATAAAATCCTGCTTATATTTGCAGGGGATATGAACCTCGTTGTCGATCCCAGGCTAGATCGTTCTTCTCCTAAAACGCTGACCGCATCACTCTTGTCAAAAACGCTTTCTGATTTCATGTCCAAGAACGGCTGCGTTGATCCCTGGAGATTCTATAACCCCTGCATTAAGGAATATTCCTTAATATTTTCTCATATGTGACCTGCTCCATCGAAATCAGTCGCATTGACCCAAAGACACATTTTGAGTTGTATCCACTGTTGGAAAGAGGAGATGCCTAGCTTTCTAATGATATCAGGATTGTTGTTGTACTCCAAATATTAAGCAAAATATGTCACATTATATAATGACTGTCACCGAGTCATCATTTTGAGAAAAAGGCCTTCAAAGTTTTCTCTTCTCTGGAATCCATCGATCTGATTGGTTATTAGCAAATGATCAAAATACTACGGAGGGAAGATATTTTCGTTTGGATTACTGGTCTGGGGGAAGCTTGCGAGTGTGTGTGTGTGTGTGTGTGTGTGTGTGTGTTTATACGTGTGTTTGTGTAATTTTGCATTTGTGTGTATTGTGTTTGTTTCCCGGGGAAAACACTCACGAGAAACACCGGCTGTTGTTATGCCTGCTGTGACGTCAAGTTGCTCCGTTCTCCGCTTGTAATTATGCCGTTACAAGCTTCAAAGTTGTATTTATCATCTGAATTTGCCGAAACAAGTTTAATATTCTGAAAGCCAAGACTTTGTTTAATTTAAATCAGATGAAAACAAACTGTAACGGACCCTGCCGTGTTATCTATGATTACTATATGCCTTACATTCATCATTTCACCCGGAGGGAGGGGAAGCGGTGCTGTGGAACAGCAGAGTGCGAGGGAGAGCTGTCATCTTCCCTTTACAAGCTTCAAACATGTATTTATCGTGCAATTTTGGAAATAAAAGTTTCATATTCTGAAAGCCAAGACTTTGTTTATTTAAAATCAAACAAAACACCCGAAAAACTATTTTTTTACGCAAATCCGCGTTTATTTTGAAATGAGCCATTGCGACTTCCGCTTGATTTCGATAGAGCGGGTCACATATGCACAAATCCTTTTCTCTAATTGATTATTTCTTCATCAATGCCAAACTTGTTTCCAAAGTGACAACTACTGATGCAGAGCACCTTCTTTTACGCTCACGTTCAACGTACGAGCATGAGCATGGTGATAAGGCGAGCCACCTTTTGGCCCACCAATTGCGTTGTCAGGCAGCCTCACGTATGATCCTCCATATAAAAGATTCATCAGGCACGGTGCATACAGATCCAAGTACCATTAACTCCGTCTTTGGCTCATTCTATTCTTCTCTATACAAGTCTGAATCGCCACCCAACACTTCTGAGATGGGAGCTTTCTCAATTTCCCTACCATAGGTCCTGATGTTTCAAAATAACTTGATTCTCCATTAACCCTAGGTGAGATCATCCTCGCTATAAATAACATGCAAAATAATAAAGCTCCTGGCCCTGATGGATTCCCAGTAGAATTTCTTTTAAGATGTAAATCTGAATTGACCCCATTAATACACTCAGTGTATAAGGAATCTCTGCGGAATGGCTCTCTTCCTCCCACTTTAAGACAAGCCTTCATAAGTGTGCTTTTAAAAAAAAAACAAAGGTCCGGATCTCTGCAGCTCTTATAGGCCACTTTCCTTAATAAATGTGGATGCGAAAATACTTGCTAAGGCTTCGGCACGTCGCTTGGAAAATATTCTCCCAACCATAGTTTCTGAAGAACAAACTGGATTTAGATTATAGAGGTATAAGTATCATCACTGTGTGACCAGAACTCAGGGCAGCGAAGGCAAACCCAGACAACACACAACGTAGCTTTACGTAGCCAAAACGGCAAATACCTCTTACCTTTGCTGTTTTCTGATCAAAAGTTGTGTTCAATGGCATTAAAACGCTGCTGGAGGTTAATCCAGTGTCTCTGTCACTTTGAAATGATTACTGATAATCCATCATCATATTTATGGCAATAAGCCTAGTTTTCAGTTTTCAGAGCGTAACAGCTTTCGGTTTGGGCAAGCTGCGTGCGCATCACACTCACTCCTCAATGGTAACGTGTAGGTGGATTTAGGAACTTCCCCTAGATTCTATTGGCTCTAACGGTTAAAAAGAGGTTTCAATCACCAAAATCGGGTTCCAGAGAAACGGCAAATACACCCAAATGACCCCAGATTAGACACTGTACCAAATCCCTGTTTCCATCCTTTCCCTCTCTAGCCCCTAATCAAATATGGGATGAGTTTATTTGTTCTGATCCCCTTCAAAAGTAACTTATTTAAAAAATGTATAACAAACTCCTGACCGATGACAGCTCACACATCACTAAAATCAAGGCTGCCTGGGAGGCTGAGCTGGGTGTAAACTTAGATGATCACTGGTGGGACGCTGCTCTTCAAAGGATTCATACAAGTTCATCCTGTGCTCGTCTCACTCTCATACAGTTCAAGGTGCTGTACAGGATTCATTTCTCAAAGGCACGACTGTCACAAATATATCCCACTGTTATTGACATCTGTGACAAATGTCAAGCCTCTCCCTGCAACCTATCCCATATGTTCTTCTCCTGCCCATTAGTATTATCCTTTTGGCAGAAGTTTTTTGAGGATATCTAAAAAATACTCTCACTCACTGTGAAAGTCTGTCCCCATATTTAGGTGCCCAGAATATTACAATAGATACAACTCGGGGCAATTGGATATTCTGGCATTTACTTCGCTATTGGCAAGACGACTTCTTCACTTCTTCTTCACTAAAAATCCAAAAAAGCTCCTTCCAATGCTAAGTGGCTCAGCGATGTTATGTTTTTTCTAAAATTGGAGAAAATTCAATATTCCTTAAGAGGCGCAACCTCTAAGTAACCTCTAACCTCTAAGTGGCAACCCTTCTTAACCTTCTTCCAATCTCTCGCATTTTTTCGTCTACTGATTAATGGACACCCCCCCCCCCCCCCTTTATTATGTATTATTTATATTTATTTGTTGTCTTTGTATTGTTTTAGTATTATTATTTTATTATTTTTATTTTGTATTTATTTAGTTATTTTATTTTTTTGTTTAGTTCTGTTAGTCGGTACGTCACTCCCTTATATTTTAGCTATCTGGTCTGTTCTAGATATGAAGGTGATTTAAATATTGTATGCCTTCAAGTGAAAATCAACTATGTATAACTTGTCAATTGATGCACAATAGTAGAGACTAAATGGTTACTAGTAGCTTTGAACTGTGGTCCCTATCAATGTACCAAATGTATTTTCTATGTGTCTTCAATAAAAAAATAAAAAACAGGAGGACGTTTTCTTACAGATAAAAAGAGTTTGTACATGGAACTTAACGTCACTGTTTTTCTCTTCCCCGCATTGAAGCCAAAGAGAAAGAAGTGTTGTTCAGTCTCTTGAGAGCAGAGCAGACTGCGTGCTCTACAGTAGGTACCCCCCCCCCCCCCCCCCCCTGCCTGTACCTGCTGTGCAGCTATGTGTAGTCACACATGCATGGCTTGTTTCACATGATGGCTGCCTCTGTGTTGTACTAACAAACTGCTGAACGTGCTTGGTCAGACAGTGGGCTGCCTCACTGTTCTCAGGATGGACCATGGAGCGCTCATTCCCCCCCCCGTTGGTCACTGATGAAATATGTTACTGCTGCTGCTTTGTTTTCAAGGATTTATTCCAATGAGGCGAGCTGTGCCGTCATGTGACGCTGCGGAGCCTTGGAGTGCAAACCTCTGCTGTGGAGAGCCTCGATGCCTCAGAGCTAAACCATCAACCTCAGTATTCCTCAGTGCACAAGTCAAGAGCTTTGCCTTGACTTGATCTTATTGAAATGAATGTGTGTGTGAAATAAAACTCAGTCATAATAAAGTTATATAAATGCACTCCGGTCAGACACTTGGCTCTAATTATTAAAGAATGCAATTATATTTTAATTTGGTGGGAAATTCTAGAAGGTGCTCCCAGTGGTGAATGTCTCACAGTCTGAGAAACAGAGCAGGAAGGAAGCTGAACGTTGGACAGAATTACTGTTATAGGCTTGCTTGGCAAAACGTTTGCATGTTTTTAAACACATTTTAGTGGTTTGTAGCAATGCAGGTGGTTTTAGTTGTATTTGTTCACAGCATTGGAAAAACATGAAGCAATTTGAGGTAGTTAAAACTGACAATCCTGGACCAGGGTGAATGAAAACACTTCATCAGCATGCTTACTGATCATGTAACATGGTGTACATAGTTAGCGTTTTACCTGCATGCTGATATATTGGTGTGTTCCAGTTGTACTGGGAAGTGGGAATATCAGAGTTCCCACTGAAATGTCAACTGGAGCGCCCCATGAGGTCGCACTCCCTACTTGGGAGCTGACAGACGCCTCGCCATACCCAAGATCATCATTCAACATGGAGTCTGCACATATGAACATTAACACCTTGATAACATTTTTAGCTCTTCTGTATTATTGGTGTCCCATGATATCAACTTTACAAATGGCACTGCTCATCTTCTATCTGTGTATATGATGCTACCATGTTTGTATTCACAAAATAAAGCGTAGTTATCAACCAGTATTGCTCACAATCCGTGACCATCTTTTTCCTGACGTCACTACCAGTTCTGAACTTCGGCTTCCAACGTAAATGGAACGAACTCAAGCTTTTTTTGCACTGCTGTATACTCAGAATGCTACAGAAGAAATCGTTCATGTCCTGCTGCCACTCACTGTTACATAACTCCACTTCACCAGAAAGAGGAACAATTGCTCTATTGTCTCATCACCTTGCATACGTTCACATAAATGAATTTATTTTTATGAACAGTGTTTGTAGGGACTATTTCTTCAGTAAATAGTTTCCCTGAACACTTCACGGTGAAGTCAAGATTCTTAGATAATTTACTCATTAGAGTTACAGTTTTTCTGAAATACTTCATTGCTTGAATTCTTTGTTTAAGGAGTTGGTCAGATTTTGTGAACCACATACAAAAGTCCAGTCAGCTCCCTTGTAGCAGGGTGTTCATAGGTTCTAGGATGACTGCTCTGATTTGAAGAAAGGTACAGAACCTGTTCTCTTCTCAGGTTTAAAGGCTCCTTTGGTAATTGCTCCCTGAAGAGGGTACGGACGCAGGTGACAGCCCTCCTGAAGGAGTCCTCCAACTGGACTACAACATTGTCTCTTTGTTAGGGGCTTTGCTGAGGCAGATTCTGTTGGTGAGCTGTGGTGTGGGAGGGCGGGGGAATCTGCAGCCGCACTCTCTGCTCCCTCTTCATCCACGTGTTAAACATGTGGTAGCGCACAGATACCTG